CCGCGCGAACTCGAGTGGCGTAGGTATGACACGCTTTCCGACCGTTTGTATGAAGATAGAATACTGTATAGATAATATTAACGTGACCACACCATAGAGACGCTTGCGATACAAAAAAGTATCACTCGTACCGTTGCTCAACCCGACCGAAATCTCTACCGCATGGAGCCATCACTGCTTTGAAATTGTCTTTTACAGATACATTAGATATTTTTTAATTATTAATTTTTACGTAGCAGTTTTGATAAATATAAATGGGTTGATTATTATGCCCACCAACATTTCTATCATATGTACGTAATGATTACGATTATGTATGAAAAGTATTAGATAAACCGCCTTCTAAAAAAATATTATCTTTTAAATCATGTTCTCATTGAGTAGGTAATAGAATTTGCGTATGCATTATCTTCTAAGTATCAAATAAATATGTTGAATTAAGATTTCTATCTTATTATCAAAAAAAAATATAATTATCTATTGGTATCAAAAAGAATAATAGTAGACCCAAGGGGATTTTTGGATTAACTCGAGCGCGGCAGATTAACATAAGGGAGGCAATCTTGCACCTTGTGAAGTACTACTTCCAATATACCTGAGCCCTCTATGCGAAGCCGAACATCTAGGGCAACAAAAAAAATTTGAAGAAACCGCCATACGGCTTTTGGTGCCGTCGAAATGTTCAGTCTATTGAATAGAAGCTACATGAGGTTCCACGTAACGGTTCCGAGGACGGAAAAAATATTGATCTGCAGGTTCGCTTGGTGTGGGGGTAGTGGGGGTGGCCATACCGAAATATTGAATATTGAGAAGGGATGTCACGTGAACCTTTCAGTGGTTCTGTATTAAAAAAAACTGACGATTTTGACGCGATCAAAAGCCATATCATGATTTTTTTGATGACCTAGAAGTGCGATATTTAACTGATTTGATATTTTACGTTACCTGACTTGAAGAGCTATTTAAATAGTCGGGCCCCAAAATGGTACCTTGTAGAACTACTGCCAATTTATTGATTATTTATATTTTCAACGTATTTTGATTGGAATTCCTCTATAATGTAACTATAATTAAATGTGTATTTTACTCTTTTATTATTATTTTTATTAAAGATCATGACGTATCAAGACTAAAACAAATGCCTTAGTCAAGTCCTTAAAGTTTCCAGAAAATATACAATGTAAAGTGTTTTAATAAATAGGAATGAGATACATTTGCAGTTATAAAAATCCGAATAACAGATATACATTATATATTGTACCTAGTAGTACACAGAAATTACAACTACTGGATCAAGATATTTAGATCGTTAGAATCAGACGGTCCTTAAGTTTCTAAGACATCTTTTGATACATATTAAAAATAAAAAAATTACATGTAATATTTCTTAGTTACACCAAATCAGTTACCTAGTAGATTGGTTAAATAAATATGAATTAATTAAACATATATACCTGAGACTGCTAAAACTGCAGAAGCTAACAAGAAAACAAATAGAGCAGCCATGACGAGCACTGAACGACTTTTGTCAAAAAATCTGAAGGACAGTAATTGTATTGTGAATCTTATCTTTTAAATTGATTCAATTGTGATCATTAAACTAGATAAATATAGCGATTAACATTATGAATATTATAAGTATGTAAGTTTGTATGTTTGAAAGGATTTCGATGGGGCACACAAAGAATTTTATAACCAGAATGAAGACATAGAATACTAAGTTATTTCCTGTGGGATATAAATTATACACAGCAATAGATGACTAATGAATGTATTTGTTTGTATCAATGAATTCACGTCATAAAGATGTGTGATGTGCGTCATTACATTTTCCTGGGACAGAAAGTTCAGTTAGGTACGAACTACTTCGAGAAAGAGATCTCTAGTCGAATCCAGTTTGGATGGGCAGCGTTTGGAAAGCCACGAATAATCTTCGCGTGCAAATAACCTCACTGTCTCAAGACAAAAGGTTTTGACTAGTGTGTGTTGCCTGTGATGACATACGCAAGTGAAACGTGGTCATTATATGTGGGTCTCATAAGAAGGATGGGTCTCATAAGAAGGCTAAGGCTCAAGGTCTCATAGTGAGCAATCGAGGAGCGATGCTCGGTATTTCCCTACGTGATAAAATCATAAATGAGGAAATGCGCTGGAAAACTAAAGTAACTTGTCAAATAACCGCACCTGGTACACGTAGCGAACATATGCGTTTTTGTTTGTTTACGTGTATGTATGAGTGAGCGCGCTCACGGTGTGTGGGTGTGTGTGTATGAGACAGTTACGCTATCGTGGCTAAAGCACTGAGCCTATTATGATGAACTAGCGGCCCGCCCTCGCTTCGCTTCGGTGTAGAGCTGAAGTGTAGACTACAGTTTTTGTTCTCAAGCTTGTATTTTACACAATGACATTCATCTATGATTCTTCTTATACCCGCCCGATCCGTCCTGTCGTTTGGGCTGTGCGTTGATAGATCACTATATCAGTCAGTCACCTTTGAGTTTCATATATATATATAGATTATGGTATGGACACAAAAGAATCTTTGGGAAAGGTCATATATGCCTATTTTACTTTTACTTACGAAAATTATACATTTAATTTTATAACATAGCGATGGATTGGCATTACCAATGCTCTGAAACCTTTTGTTAGCAGAAGTCTGATGGCACGATAGCGCAGTGAGTTGGTGCGTTCGGTTTGACATCGGATCGGAAGTTGAGAAAGGTCACTTTCGCAGTGACCAGTCGTGGGATGGATAGCCAACAAATTTTTAATCTTTGGAAAGCACCTTCAGATTTCCAGCACTCGAAATTTGCATTTTTATTTTGCCTCTTCTACACGATGGGCCATGATGAGCGAATACAGGGGATCGTGAACGTGTGGAGGTCATAATCGACTGTAATTGTCAATGATTGGTAATGATTGCATTGATTGGCATTAAAACAATAGCGATAACTGCTACCCGTTCGACTTCGATGCTGGGAGCATGACATTTACAAATGTGGCGTGGATTTTAAATTGAGGACCTCCGTGGTGAGAGGTTTGTACGCCGGGTTTCAAGGGCCTATTCGAGAAGTCCCGGGGTTGAATCCAGGCGTAGGCAGATGTTTGTGTGAGTAACACGAGCATTTGTACTCCAGTCATGGATGTTCAATATGTATTTCTGTATAAATATACTTATATCTGTATCAGTATATGTATACTAGTATCCCATAACACAAGCCTACATTACTTACTTTGGGGCTAGTGTTGGAAATATTTTTATTATTATTTGTTTATTTTTGACGGTGATGGTATGGACAGCTGCATATTGATTGTATGAATCATGGCCAAATTTGTGATCGTCAATCATTTCCAATCGTGTAGAAGAACAGAGCCTTTAGAGATAAAGGTTTTAATTAAATTTCCGTTCGTATGGTGTAAGATCACTCTATTTTCCGTTCGCTTGCTTAATTTTATTTTATTATGCCTAATATTTTTTTTTCTGTTAAACGATAAAATTATGCACAAATAAATTGTTTGATTCATCCTTTAAGCATTATTTAATATGATTAACCTATTTTTATATAGGTAATTAATAACTAACCTCGTGTTCCTCATTTCCGTCACCCAATCCGCCACGCTAAAACGTGAAGAAAAATATAAAATGCCTAAAAGTAACTGTTTGTTTCAATTTTATTCTTTTGAAACATACATAGTGAATGAATTGATTATCGCCCATTGAGCTGATTCTACAAAAAAGTACCAAGGATGTTTTTTTTGTTTTTTCACACAACTGTACCCCTAGCACGAACCAATATCGAATTCGTATTGTTTACGAGTCCCAAATGTCATTGTCAAATGTGTACCGATTTTTAGTTCTCGTTACGTACTTTGTGCCGCTGCTGTTCAAGTTTCCATACAAAATTTGACATTGACATTTCGGTTTGCAAACTATTCGAATTCGATAATGACTATATGAAAACTTGAACAGCAGCGCCATAACGAACGTAACGAGAATTAAAAATCAGTACACATTTGACAATGTCATTTCGTACTCGCAAACGATACGAATTCGATATTGGTTCGTGTTAAGAGTACCTACAGATTTAAATTAAAAACTTTTTCGTTTAATCGAATTTCAAGTCTCTATGATACTAAAGAAGTTTTTACTTCTATTGAAGTAATATATTATTATAAATCAAAGTTTATGTTTAGTTAGTGTACCCCTATGTCACCAGAGATGATGAAAGGAATCTAACGATACCACATACTTCAAAATGGGCTCAGGCATTTAAGTTTTTTTTTTATAGGTAGGTCCGACAAATGACTCAACCCCACCTGATGTTTAGTGAAGGTGAAGTCCAGACGTCAAGATAGCTGATACAGCAGTTCTACCTGCCACACCAGCCATCCTCACCTTGCCGGCCTGCATGTTGCTTCTTCACGCCTCTTTTAAATGATCCCAAGTTGTAAGAGGGAGGGAGCACGTGAGCGGGCAGAGCATTCCATTTACATATAATGCGATAAAGAAATGAGTCACCAAATTTCTTTGTACGCGTTGGAATTGTGGCCACAGTTAGACGGTGACAACGTAGGCCAGGGCGCGTGGTCCTCTGAAGGAGAGGGGAAGGTGGGATAAGAAAGAATAACTCCTCAGAACACTCGCCGTGGTACAGACGATAGAACGCGCTTAGTGACGCCACGTCACGGCGTAATTGAAGAGGCTCAAGGTATTTAGTCACTTCCTCATCGCCTGTGATGAGGATTGCATGCAGCTGTAACCTATCCAAAGCATACTTGGCGGAGCCATCATAGAGGTACGAGCAATATTCCACGCAGGACCGCACTTGCGTTTTGTAATAAAGGTTAGTTCTGGTGTAATAAAGGCATACTCATACATTTATGAACCCTGAATAAACTCCTATTTTTTGAGCAGTCGTGTATAAATAAACCTACGATCGACTCTTGCGACGACGAATAACAGACAAAAAACACAGTTTAAATGAAACACAAACAGGTATTTTGTTCAAAATACTTTAAAGTCTTTATTTATAATTGCAACGATGGTGTGAAGATAAAGAAACCTTATTACTTTATGTAATGATTTATAAAATCTAAAGAAATTTAAAATATGTATATAAACCAAATCACGTTTTTCATATTTTTTTATTACGTATTTTTGAAAATAACAACTCATTTATTAATCATACATAATTTGTTATACAAACTTCATGTTATTTACATTAAAATTATTAAGCTTTATGTAAGAATGCTGGGTGCTGGGACAAATTCGTTTTTCTTAAGTATACTGGAACAATCTTTGAAAATTTTCAAGATTGTATAGTTTTTCTTAACCTTTGGCGAAGGGTGGCGCTTCGTTTGTCTCCACAGAGAAAATGCCAGTCGTTCTGAAAAACCAAAATAAAATTAAAACAAAAAACCCGACAGCTTAAGGGCCAGTGCTGTGTTAAGCGGGAGCTCTCTGCTCCAGGAGACGTCCGCTCATCGCATGCCCTAAAACGATCTTTAATTAAAAACTGAAAAGAAAAAAACAAGTCCAGTAGTCTAGAGTTCTGTTTTGTAATATTGAACAGCATTAAATAAGTAAATAAAAGTTTTAAACTTTCGTGACCACTAACAATATAGCTATTAACGGGATTGTTACCATGTACCTTGTTTTTTATGAGTCTCCGATATTTCGGCGCTGATGACCTGTTGCAAGCGCCATGATCACGGAGTAACTGAGTTACAGAACAGTTAGAGAACAGTTAGAGAACAGTTACTCCGTGATCATGGCGCCTGCAACAGTGTCGAAATATCGGAGAATCATAAAAACAAGGTACATGGTAACAATCCCGTTAATAGCTATAATAAATAAAAGTATTTTTTTTTATAATTTCTATTTTTTTAGAATGTAACTACATAAGTACTCGATGTTTGAATGTAAAGAATTTTATTTTCTAGTAATATTTTCTTTAAGTAAAATAATAATTTATAATTCGAAATCAATCAAGAAACAAGTTCGAAACTGTTACAGCCGAACCCATTGAAGAGTAAATAAATAAATAAATAAATAGTGTGGTAAATAGCAACGTACATATAGCCACCGCTCGCGGAGACGATATCTTACATTATATCATGTCAAACTCCACAGTAATTTGACAATAGAGCGTGTTAAAAAACAATTTTAGTAATATTTTCTTTAGATTTAAACATCGACCAGTTACATTTTTAAAAAATAAGAATCAAAAATGTAATACGATGTTATCATAATTCAGTATTGCATCGTTTAATTTCACTTCCACCTGAGTTTATGATAGTCTGTAGTTTTGTTACAAGCCAGAAGTGGTATTTAGTTATAGGTATAAACACAATGCACCGTCCAACACCAATCGGGCCACGGCCCCCGACCTACCATCACCCAGCTCGGTGATAGATCTTCCTCTTTGGCCTTCCTACTGTTCATAAAACTTGTTCATAAAAAATAGACACTTCCACATCACAAGGCTACAAATTACAGAATGCCACGCGCTTTCGCATACGCGAGGAATCCCCCGTCACATCTGTCAGTTCATTTTGACAACTAGTGCTGCCGAACTTAGAGATAAACCATATAATGCGATTCAAATAAGAATAGGACAGCCAATGACCTCATCGTCAAATGTCACTTGAAAAGTACGGTTTGCAAAAAATCTTGGAACCCTTTTTTAGCACTCTGCTAATTCTAGAATAAAAAACACACATTTGGAAACAAACAATAACAAATTTTGATAATTAATATTGGTTGATATTTTTTTTCATTTATTGAGCTTTGGTTATGAATGTTTGCTAACCTAAACCGTCAACCAAATGTCACTTTAAGTTGCGTTCAGAAACTCAATTTAAAACTTTCGTTTATCTAAAGGATGCATGTTCGTATTTGACCTAGTAATAGTGCATGATTATTCATAACTACTCCAGCGGTAATGCAGAGATGAACGGAATTGAAGAGCTAAATTCTGATTTATGTTTTTTCTCACAGTCTTAATAAATAAATATTATTAAAAATTGGTTTCTTTTTCTCAATCTAAGTAAATATTTTAATAAAAATCTGATGTTTTTTCTCACTTAATCTTAGTTAGAAGTTTTGTTAAATAAAAACTTTTTTTTGCTCACTCTACCTATTTGGTTTGAATTGACAGCTATGACGTCAAAATATGGCGCCCAGTCGGTCCTATTCTTAGTTGAATCGCATTATAGTAACCAACGTTGCTAATCGATTATAGTTCGGTTATTTCATCTAACACTACATTTGTATTAAGCTTACCCAATCTTAGGTCTCAAACCGCCCATTTGAACGCTGCTGGGCAGGACGCAGCTGGAAGCCATGGCGGTCACGTAGGAAACACACCGGCGGCTTCGGAACACTCCACCACGGATGGACTCAGCGAAGTAGAAGATCGCCCTGATGGTGATGAAGAGAAGCATAGATAAATACAAGAGAATAAATCTAAATATATAAAAGAAGACTCTGAGTGAGTGACAGCTCAAGCCGCTGGGATAGAGATTCCAAATTTGGCACGTATGTTCCTTATGAGGTCCTAAGGGTGCGCTAAGAAAGGATTTTTCGATATTCACCCGCGAAGAGATTAAAATAGAGGATGAAAATATATATATTTGTATGAAAATTCCTGTTCCTTGAGTTAATAGACTTGAAAGTTGGCGAACGAATACTCATCTAAATAAGTTATAAAGTTTGTATTTTTTAGTTTTCCTAAAGTAGCCCTTAAGAGGGGATTAGGACGGTGTCCAAGTATGTCTATGGATGAATTTTATATATATATATTTTTTAATTTATAAATATCATGATAAGATACAGATATGGCCCAAGGTGGAGAGGAATCCAGCTATCCCCGTGTTGGTGAGAATGATTTCGATTCACACTCCGTGGTTCTCTCTGAAGCGGTTGTCATTGCTCATCCAACAGGGTCCGGCGGATAAGCGCTATGTTATCGCCATTCACGTTGACCATTCAAGTGTAGCTATTTACTTTTCACGTTAAAATTAATGCTTTAATTTTCGCATTGATATGCATTAACGTTTCCCGTTAGTGTGGCCACAGCAACACTGGTGTAGGTATCTACACCAATAAATATAAATAACTAGCTGTGCCCCGCGGTGTTACCCGCGGTTTATTAGGTATATTTTTCCGCAGTAAAACGTAGCCTATGTGTTAATTCAGGGTGTCAGCTAACTCCATGTCAAAATCGCTCCAGCCGTTTAGACGTGAAGAAGTAACAAACATACGCACTCACAAATGTTTCGCCTTTGACGACCTCCGTGGCCGAGTGTTTGTACGCCGGGTTTCATGGCATCGCTGACTCGAGAGGTCCCGGGTTCGAATCCCGGTGGGGGCAGATGTTTGTGTGATGAACACGAGCATTTGTACTCCAGTCATGGATGTTTAATATGTATTTCTATTTAAATATACTTATATAAGTAAAGTATATGTATTCTATCCGTTACTCTAGTATCCCATAACTGATGCCTTATAGTGATTACTTTGGGGCTAGGCTAATTGGTGTGAGCGTTGGAAATATTTATTATTATTATTATAATATTAGTGCGATAACGCCGTAGTTATCGATAGCAACAAATGAGTAATTCACCTTGCGTGAGAGCAATCCGACAGCATTCCGCAGCCAGGCATGTTCACACCACCGTTGGGGTAGAAGTCAGTATGGCCCAGGGTGGCGAGGAAGCCGGCTATCCCCGCGTTGGTGTGAATGATTTCGGTGTACACTCCGTCGTTTTCTCTAAAGCGGTTGTCGTTGGTCATCCATCCAGGACCGGCGGGGTCCAGACCTGAAGAAGTCAAGATTCTAACTCCGACAGTGGAAAAGCAAAACAGCTCAACCGCAAGTTTATAATTTTGCGGAAACAAGTATCGAAACTTCTTGTTACAACAAAAAAAAAATTGGTAAATGTGAAATAGGAACATGAAAAAAAACTCTTTATTGTAATACACCACATAAGACCTAATAGTAAATAAAACATGATAGACAGAACATACACAATATAGGCGGCCTTATTGGTAGGCAGGAATGTTTTCCAGACAACGCATAATAGATAAATAAATAAATATGAAAGACAAAAAGAGGGGAATAACAGTAAATTAAACGTAAATAATAATAATAGCAATGCCAAGAAAAAAGATGTAGGTATCTAGGGAAAGAAAGAAAAAGGAGGAAGAAAAAAAAAATATTTATTAGAAAAACACAAAACCTTTAAGGTTTTTTTACAGGAATAAAAAATTGTATAAAAAACAATAATAATAATTTAATTATGCTACACATAATATTAATTTAAATTAATAATATTTAAAAAAAATGCATTGAATCGTAATATTATGTGTGTGTTAAATCATGACCCACTACGCAGGCCCGTGTCGAGATTGGCGGGTGCTAACGACTGCAGATGCAGCCTGGACCAACGGCTCCAACGTGCCTTCAATGACCGACCATTGAGAAGCTTATCTTCAACAATAGCAGCTAAATGCGCTAACCGCTTTCGGCATCAAGCTCTTCATAACCCGACTCGAGCCGAACATTACTTTACCTTGGTTATTTATGCGATATTAAGTCATGGAACAGTACCTGTGATATAAGTGATGGCACCCCCAACGTTTCTTCCCACGACGCCGACCTGGTGAGCGCCAAGACTGAACCCAACCAAGTGGAACATTTCTGGAGTAGTTCCGGTGACGCGATTCAACCAGTTGATAAAGCGAGCCACGCTTTCACCTGGAACAGATTTGGCAGAACTCTTATATTCCTACACGAAAATCTGGTTACTCATTTCTTTGTGGTACTATTCGCAAGTGGAATTCTTTGCTCGTGCATGCGTTCCCTCCTTCATCTAATTTCAGGCAATTTAAAAGAGGAAGACCAGCCAAGTGAGGATGGTTAATGTGGTAGTTCATAACTGCTGCACCAGTTATCTTCGCGTCTGGACTTTACCACCAATTAACATCAGGTGGGATGGAGTCATTTGCCTATCTATAAAATAAAAAAATATGTTCGACATCCTTATTTTGCAGCTGAACGGGAAAAAGGAAAATATTTATTACTAGCGATACGCCCCGGCTTTATACGCACAGGCGAAATTTATTTTGACGTGATGGTGAACTACAGTAGCATATATCATAGGGATGATGGCGGGGTAAATATCATTTTTCATTATCATCATTCAATATGATTGATTTGCAGGTGTGTTATCATGTTGAGTCAATAAAAAAGACATGTAAAAGTATTATTTTGAGTACGTCATCACTGTGTAACTGTGATTGCATTTGTTGATAGCTTCTCAATCGAAAACAAATCTTTTGAAATAATGCGTACCTCAAGGTAGAAGACTAGGCCCCATCTTTTATAAATCTTCTTTTGGGAAGAGTGAAAAAGTCATACTCCCTTTTATGAAGATTCAGATGAAAGATTTTTTGAAATCGGTCCATGAGCAGTTTTTCGGTTTATTCTTTACAACAAAACATTTTTTTTTCTCTTTATTATAAAAGTATAGATTCTGCTATTGTTTTAATGAGCTTTCTTTCCGCGACAAAAAAAGGAGTAATGGTGTTTTCATTCCATAAAAAATATCATAAGCTTCAATCCAGGTCATAAACTGTATGCGTGCCAAATTTTATCCGATTCTGTTGAGTAGTTTTTTTTGCGTGATTTAGTAACAAACATACAAACTTTCACATTGATACTAGTAGATGTAGGATTGAACAATTTCCAAATATAATAAAAATATTTTAAAAAAGTTTAGACATTGTTTTATTTTGCAGTAATCCTATCTATACTTATATTATAAAGAGGAATTGTTTGTTTGTTTTGAATCAGCTCCAAAACTAATAGACTGAATTCAAAAATTATTTCACGTTTTGAATCGTACATTATCCCTGATAAACATAGGCTATAGAGTATTTTCAAAAAAGTTAGGGCTTCGTATGGAAACTTCGATGACGTAACCCAGGGTGTGAAAAAAATACCAAGAAATAACTTTATACCGCTTACACTGGGGAAGTTATTGACAATAGAGTACAGTGATGTACTAAAGTGTTATAGAGAACATCAATATCTACAAAAAAGTCCGCGATACCATAATATGTCTCACTATTACAGTTATGTCACAACTAGAGGTGCCCTGCGGTTTTACCCGCGTTAATTTGAAGAAAAAGATTATAGTCAGTCAAACTTAAAAGACATGCTGTTGCAATCTTTTTTATAGAAATTTTAAAGGGAAATAATTCAATAACACGTAATTAATAAAAGGGGGAACGTAAGGCGAATAATGCAATGAATAAACGGATAAAGTTACACAAAGTAACTACATCCGTTTATTCATTGCATGCAACGGAAGCTCACAAATGGAATATTTGTACCCGATTTTGAAATATTTTTCATTGATGCTCCGCTCCTACTGGTCTAAGCGTGATGTTACATAGCCTATATAGCCTTCCTCAACAAATGCACTATTCAACAGTAATTTTTCAAATCAGACCAGTATTTTCTAGTATTAACGCGTTCAACCAAAAAAAAAAACAAACACACCCTCCAGTTTTATGATATTAGTAATTATATTTAATTTTGAAAAAGTCATAATACAAGCCTGAGAACAAAAACTATAGACTACCTACAGTTCTTCACGGAAGCGAAGCGAGAGCGGGCCACTAGTAACTTTTAAGTCTAGCCCGCGCCTTTGCCCGTGTTTTCACGGTAACATACTCGTAGATCCTACTGTACCCTTAGTACGAGTTTGAGCTCACGAAAACTATCATAGTTTTCGTAATTGTAAATTATATTTCTATGTCCATTTTGGTGAAAAGTAACCAATTATACTTAAAATTTAAGAAGACGCAAACGATTTAATGATAGAATTTAAACACTGTTTATTTGTATTGAAATGAAAACAATAATATCAGTACCCTTAGTACGAGCGTGAGCTTACGAAAACTATCATAGTTTTCGTAATTGTAAAATTCGTACTAAGGGTACTGATATGAAAGTTTGTTAATTGTTTACGCTTAAACGGCTGAATGAATTTGGATGAATGAAATAGGTTCCTGTAGGATTTTCAAAAAAACCAAAGTTAACACGGAAGATGTTGCGGGCGTATTATATATAAGTTTTTTACATAGAAGTTTTCATAAATAGGTACTTACACATAAACACGCAATTACAAATCATTTTTCACTATCATCATTCAAGATTGATTTGCAGGTGTGTTATCATGTTACGTTAATAAAGAAACCTTGAAAGAGTATTATTTTGACTACGTCATCACTGCGAAACTGTGATTGCATTTGTTGATAGCTTTTCAATCGAAAACATATGTTTTGAAATAATGCGTACCTCAAGGTAGAACACTAGGCCCCATCTTTGCATATAATAAAATGGTAGGAAAGTCAAAACTGTACATTGAATATTATTTTTAAGAATGCTTGGGGTGTGATCTACAATCGATAACGAAGCCAAAAATATAGTTTTTAGATTTTTTTTTGTTGATCTGTATGTATGTCCGGGATAAACTCAAAAAGTACTGCATGGATTTACTTCAAATTTGGCACGAATATTATGAATAAGTTGGAACAAGATATAGGCTATATATTATCAATCACCTACAGGGAACGAGCAGTGAACCTTTATTTCTAACTAACTCCACACGTACGATGTCGCGACGTATTTTATAAATCTCCTTTTGGGAGGAGCAAATATTGGGTATATAAGGACTGACTTTGTGGTTCCTGGTTTGGCAAGGAACAGTCGATCAAGGAAATTGGAAATAAATATCTTGTCTTGATATTATTTCTAAAGAGAACCTTACGAACTTGAAAGGAGACTGATTTAATAAATCAGGAAACAGCATGTATAAAATAGAGATATTAAAAGTTATGTTCTCCATAATGTGTTTTCTTTTTCAAAGATCTTAAAATATATCAATCGTTAAGTATATCAATGAACAAAAAATGAACCTAACTTGAAATGAAATTACAAATTTGACAGACTTATTAATTAGAAACATAAATTATCCACTTGGATAAAACAGTCATTATTGTAAAATTGAAGAATTCACAATTATAACATATTTTAGATATTCCTATGTCATTTTAGACCCCCTGTTCAGGTCAGGTGTGTTCAATCAAAGAATTTGATTGGTCTGCCGTTTTAAAGGATAGAAGATGTATGAATCCTGACTCATTCGCCTACCCCCTGAAGGTCCGGACCCCACTCACCGTCAGAAACATAACTAAAGAGATTTCACTGCAGTCCTCCGTAAGGCTACTGCCCCAGAAGGGCGCTTTAATTCGAGTGAAAAATCCGCTACGCGTGGTAGCTTTTAAATCTTCAAATGATCAGCAGCAGGCAACATAGATCTTACCTCACCATCTTCAGCCTATTAATGTCCCCACTGTTGGGGTACAGGCCATCGGATATGAATGGAATAGATGCTAGATATATGACTTATATTGTTTGACAGAGCAAGTCAATCTTCTTATTTTTTCTAAATAATGTGGAGATTGCACCACGACTCACCACGCGCGCCCCAAGCAGATTGTCGGGTGCTAACGACTGCAGATGCAGCCGGGACCAACGGCTTAACGTGCCTCCTGAGGCACTAAGGAGTTCGAGATAGTAATTTTTTCGTCAACCATCCAATGACCGACCACTGTGAAAATTGCTTAACTTCAACGATCGCCTTACCTGATGGTACTGTATTGGCAACAGCGGTAGCGTAATTGATAGTACCGCCGCCTGCACTCCAGTCTACGACGATGACGTTCACATCTTCAGCAGCGAGAAAAGCTGTAGAAGTAACATTCAAATAAATATCGTTTACATAAGATATATATAATAATTTTCTAATTATAAATGTCAAATGTGTTGATACGCGGCCATCAAAATAATAAAAAAATGTCTAGGCTGTTACAAGCACTACCGACGCGAAGGTTCGATATTTATAAGTAAAATCTTCTATAGATTTATAAATGACGCTGTTAGTTAAATTCTTAAAATAAATATAATAAATGACATTTCGAAAGCTATAAATCATAAATGCATTTAATTTGCGGATGTTATTTCTATTGTTGTGACATTAGATAAGAAAAATAATTCAATCAATAACCATGAAAATGAAGTCAACAATACTATCGACAAAATCATTGAATGGCTGCAATATAATGACTTAAAAACTAATCTAAATAAATCATGTTATATACAAGTTAATCAATCGAAACATTTAAAATACAATTTTAAAATGAACATTGAAAAATAAAGGAAGTGACATATAAACATTTTAGGAGTATATATAGACCAGACCGCCGGTCTTCGTCGACCCTAAGGTGGACTGGGCGCGGCATGCCAGCCGCGCGTCCTTGGTGCCATTCGGCATAGGCCACCCCGTCTGGGGATTACCTAGTACCCTAGAGTAATCCCCCCATAGGCGCGTCGCCCGGTCCACTCGTTGGGCCGGGCCAGCCCTAGGACGCTCTGGTGTAGTGGCGCACGTAGGTGCACCGATCCCAGAGCGCCCTCATAAGGGCCGAGGAGGGTACCGGTGGTTTTTAGTGGGTAGGACCGGCGTTGTTCCACGCCGGGGAGTCCCACACACGTCGCGCGCCTGGCAAGCGCGCGGTATGGTGCGTAAATGCATTTTCCACCGTCAACAAAAAAAAAAAAAAAAAAAAAAAAAAAAAAGGAGTATATATAGACCAAGACAAACTTTAATATACACGTTGAAAATATAAGATGTAATAGAGTGAACAAATGCGTGTATGCACTAAATAAATTATGAAACATTACTAATAAACAATCCATTTTGCGGCATGGGATTGACATTTGGGGTTATAGTACAGATATAACTAAAGCATTTATAGCACAAAAAAGTGTATCAGGGCTATTTGCGGAGTTGCGCCTGACGTCTCATGCAAACAACTGTTTAGGGGCCTTGGTTTATTAACAGTACTATCATTGTACATTTATGAGATTTGTAGCTTTGTAATTAAACATAAAAATTTGTTTATCATGGCGGGTGATATAAATTGTAGAATAAAAAGAGACCCCCGCAGACTAGTTTTGGATCACGTTGCAAAATCGACTAATTACAGAAAAAGTAGTCCCAGCATGTGTGGTCATATACATATATATCATATACATACCTAAAGGAATAAAACTGCTAAATAATATGCGATTGTTCCAGAAAAAGTTGTATTCATGGCTTCGTGAAAATACGATTTATAGTATAAAAGAATTTCTTGACAATAAATATTAAGATTTAAGTACCATGATTGACTAAGGCTTTGTAATTTGCATGTTACAATAATTAAGCAAAACGTGTGCACTTTATTATACCTATTGTAAGATCTTTCTATACCATGTTTTAAGCAAACAAAGAAATTATTATTATCATCAGAAACGTATAGAAACTTTTGGACTACAATGGCGAATTTCAAAATGTTAAAATTGCAAAATGTTGAATTGCGAATTATGTCGAATCTCAAAAAAGACATACCTGGAACTAAGACCATGTTGAAATCAGATGTGGCACCATCCAGCCATCCATGGATGAGAATGATGCACCTCTTCGATGGATCGTAGTTGGTGCTACCGAGCAACCCATCATTGCCCACCAAAAGCGGCTGGCTCACACTTGGATTAGCTCTGGCAACAAAAACTATTTTAGGCGAGAGCGATTTTGAATCCAAAGTAGGAACGCACATCTTGAACCATAAGAAAAGCCACCTCAAGTCCTCATGGGGTACAAGCCTTCGATGTGGATGGAATCGGGAGTTAAAATAAAGATCACCACGTGGGCAGTGCAGATTTTTGGCTGCTTACGACTGTAGCATGCAGCTGGGATAAACAATACAGATGCATATATTAATAGTTGATCGCTGACTGTTAACACTGCCGGCAAAAACTTGATCCACTAGTTTGTCGCTGAGCGACAAGAGCTAGCGAAAGTAATACCCGCTAAGCTATTTTCGCTTGGCCGACAGAAAGAATGAAAGAAGAAAGACAGCAAGAGCAACTGTTCAACGATAAAACTATCGGAACTATGGCTCGCTTCTTGTTTCTAGCTCTACTTCTTGTTTACCGTCGGCGATGAGACAAGTGCCACAAATCTATTCTTATGTCATTTATTATGGGTATGCGCTGTGATACGCGAGGGGAAAACGAAGCAGACGTCCGCCGTGCAGTTCCATATTATTTTATAGAGCCACGCGATTACTACCACACCCAACCCTAAATATTCTTTAGTGAAAGTAAATCTCACCTGGTAAACAGATGGTAAACATTGTGTATGTCGGGACTGAACCTGGACACTTCAGAAAAGTCGCTGACTTTCATCCATAGGTCGACGAGCTGCAGAGACCCATCTGGTTTCTCAGCATATTGGTACCGAAGGTTTTGATCCAATTTCCTTATAACTGGATCAGTTGGTAGTGCTGTAAGAGCAAAGGCAAATTTAAAGCACGGAGGAGCTCGATATAATCAATTTCTGGTCTGTTTTCAATCTTTCTCTTTGCATATATAAAAAAATTGACATTAGATGAGCAAAGAAACTTACCTGCTACTACAGCTAAGCCCAAGACCAACAAGCTACCACATAACGTTGCCATAGTTATTTAAGATTTGAATAATCTATTCATTTCGTTGGCCTTAAAGCGAATTTATTTATCTTATCTAACGAAAAATTAATGCTGTTGTTGAGAAACAAATAATAATTGATAACAAATTTATCAACTATATCATAAACATCATGATCGTTAGGTACCTTTGTGATTATTTAATTAAAATCAATATATTTGCTAGATTTTTTGTGTTAAGAAAATTTTACGAAGACCAAATTTTAACTGATTCAGAGTACCAGGCTAACCTTCTTATCTGAACCATTATGCTAACAGAATCTGATGTCTATCTGACTATAGGGATTCCTTTACAGTTAAAGTGGCTCAACTTTGGAACAAGCTGCCGTCTGAAATCCGGAGTTCAAAGTCACTTCCCATATTTAAAAGTAGATTACATACTCTCCTTCTGCTGCGAACTTAGTCTACTTTAACATTACATATGTTGTTAGTATGTAGGTATATATTTATGTTCAATTATATATATTTATATGTGGTATGTATGTATATATATATATATATATATATAATATGTATATGTAAGTGTATGATAGACAATTACTTATATGTACGTATATTAATTAATTACATTTCTCATCGACTCTGCTGGCTTACTACATCTTCTTTTCCGTTTAGCTTTCCTATACCGCGAAGGTTGTCTGGAAGAGATCGCTTGTAGCGATAAGACCGCCTTTGCCCATATTATTGTTATTAATGTATTGTTTGTACCTATGTCCTTATGTATGTGAGCAATAAAGTGTTTATTATTATTATTATTATTACATTCATTTCATTGTCTAAAATATAGTTCAGTAAACCGATGACTGGTTCATTCGTCATGCTCGTAAACAAGTTGGTAGTTGGTTGCTTGCGATACCAAAACCAAAAAATATTAATCGCATCGCTGCCCTATCCCCTACCCAGTGGAGCCCTGGAACCTTACTCACCGAGGAACACACAACACCACCAAAATGATGTGTTATTTTACTGTGATGTTCTGTAAGTACTGCGCCAGACGGGCGCTCCAATTCAAGCAGCAAATCAGCTATGCCCACTCCAACTTGTCCTTTTTGTTTTTTTTTATTACGCAGGTAAAAAATGCTATTTACAGACGACGGCGCCTTTAAGAGGCACACCGCTGAACGGACCTCACACCTGGCTTCCGCAAGTCTTACGGGCGCCCCAGTGGCTGTCCACCGAAGACCCCGCAACTCTTACGGGCGCTTTACGGCATAATATCCGCTAAAAAAGTCCTGCGAATACCCTCTAATCTGCTTAGCGCGAAGCCGCGGGATCCCCGTTTAGGGATTCCTCCGCGTCTACTCCAACTTGTCCTGCAAATCCAAATTGAAAATCCATCACTCTCTCAAAATTGTTCTTCAAAGTAGTTAGTTCGTATCCGAGAAATGTTTCTTCACGCCCGTGAATTTCATTAAGAATTGTGATAAAAATTTTTACTAAAACATGTATGGCAAATAATTTCGATATTAGAGACGCACGTAAGAACTGTTGATATGATATCAGCTTTGTTTTTGTGCATTGGTGAGTATGAGTGTAATATCAAGAATTTCTGTAATTTATCGTCGTTCATTGAATGGGTGACCAAAAACTTATTTTCTCGAGCTCCTTCGTGTTTCGGAAGGCACGTTATGACGCTGAATCTAAAGTCTTTAGCACCCACCAATGCGCACTGGACACTTGTGAAGCGTCACGTCAGGTCTCCTTATACCATCGATAGTGAAGGCCTGTACCCTAGCAGTGGGACACTAATAGGCTATGATGATGATCTCGATTATTTATTTATTTATTTATGAGGAGCTCGATGGCGCAAGTGGTTAGCGCGTTCGGCTGCGAGCGTTGCAGTTAAGCAACTTTCGCAATGGTCGGTCATTAGATGGGTGATCAAAAATTTTGTATCTCGAGTTCCTCCGTGCTTCGGAAGGCACGTTAAGCCGTTAGTTCCGGCTGCATCTGCAGTCGTTAGCACCCGCCAATCCGCACTGGGCCCGCATGCTGGGTCATGGCCCAATCTCTCTATTCCATCCATAGGGAAGACCTGTGCCCCAGCAGTGGGGACATTAATAGGCTGATGATGATGATGATGATGATCCATTTTATTTAAACTAATATTGTAAAGAGAAAGATTTGTATTTTTGTATGTTCCTGACGAATAAACTCAAAAACTGCTGGAACAATTTCATAAATTCTCTCAATATAAGAAAGCCACATAAAACCTGAGTGACATAGGCAATTTCATTGTGTAAAATTAATCTCGGAACGAGTTTTCATGATAACATCTACAAGGTATTCCATTTTAATTTTCTTAGTATACAAAATTATTAAGGATCTATCGATAATAGCCCATTGCCATCCTATCTCTTCAATAAATCCGCGTGCCTGTCCTCCATTCGACGACCTCTGTGGCCTAGTGGTTTATAAGCCAGGTTTCATGGTGTCGCCGACTCGAGATTCCCTGGGTTCGAATCCTGGTGGGACAGATGTTCGTGTGATGAGTACGAGCATTTGTATTCCAGTCATAGATGTTTAATATGTATTTCTATGTTAATATACTTATATAAGTACAATATATGTATACTATCCGTTACCCTAATATCCCATAACACAAGCGTTACAAAGTTTACTTTGGGACTAGGCTAATAGGTATGAGTGTTGGTAATATTTATATTTATTATTTTATTAGAGGCGTGTGAGACTGTTAAATATCTGGGTGTCGCTCTGGATGCCAAGTTAACGTTCCTTGCTCATGTAGCTGACTTGAGTCTGGTCCTATCTGTGTATAAAGCCCTTTGCGAATCCATCCTAACATACTACATCACCTCGTGGAGTGGTACCTCTCAAACGATCTTATTAAAATTTTAAAGGGTGCAAAGAGCTGTATTTAAATTTTTTTATTATTATTATTTATTTATTTACTAAATTAACACACAATAAAACTGATAAGAAGAACAGGAACGAGAAATTTGTACAAGGCCATTTTTATCTCATATTGAAATTTCTGCCAGCAGGCCCACGCGTTCTACACAGGCACACTCTGACGGCTTGCGCCTTTTTTACAAGCTTTTATTTTAACTTGCTATGTATGTTTGTTACGGTCAAATCTTACAACTCAATTTTAAAGCACTTGCCCTCAACCGATTAAGCTGAAATTTGGTATGCTCGTTCAATTCGGATGACAATGCATGATTAACAGTGTGACGTCATTCTAAATCCAATATGGCGGCATACCCAAACTGGCGGACCAATCATTTTTAATGCATTCCTACAATATGGGTATCAAATTAAAGGGCTTGCTGAGAGTAACTCGAAAAAAATGTGACGTCACTCTCAATCCAATATGGCGGACTTCTAAAATTTGAAAATCTATTTAAAAACAGATATCTTTAACTAATTTAGTTGAAATTTACTTTTTTTCATTTTAGCGCATTTGAATAAAAGCTTGTTTTAAAAAGGTTTTTTTTACCTTAATTTTTTTATTCTTTCCTTTTAAATTAAAATGCCAAGTTCTAAACGTCCGAAAGTTATTTATACTTAATACTGTTCTCAAACAACACAGCGCGGTGGATCCCTCCCTGCTTTTTGCTCAGCGTAATCATCTCATAGTTGCCACGCCTCTGTGCAGAACTACTTTTGCACACCGATTCTTTTATTTTCTGGGCCTTACTGCTTTAATGTGCTGCACTCAAAAAATTAAACATTGTACCAACTATACCAACAGAAATTGTAAATTTATTTAATTTAATTGTTACTCAATTTTTACATTCCTTAACATACAAAGAAACGGAAGTTCATTACACCTCCATAGATAGTTAAACCTAACCTTTTCCCTCTGATACTTAGACATTTGAAGTATCAAATATAAAGAAAAGTTTACTAGAAAAAAAATCCACGCGGACCAGGCAGCGGACGGGACTCGAACCCGCATCCTTCCTTGCGAACCTACAATGTTACCTACAATGCGAAGAGATGGCGCTGCCTTGCAGCTTAAGGCTAGGAAAATTTCGACGCGGCTAATAGGGCCGCGGTAGCATAATGGGCAGTGCATTCGCCCGGATAGCGAAGGATGAGGGTTCGAGTCCCGTCCGCTGCCTGGTCCGCGTGGATTTTTTTCTAGTAAACTTTTCTTTAGATTTAAACATCTAGCAGTTGAATGCTTAAAAAATAAATAAAATCGTATCAAATATACTTACTTATTCGATACAGTTATAACGTTAAAGCAAGTTGTTACTTGTAGGCTTGTTGTTATTTTAAGCGTAATCATGTCACTATTAATAAAACAAAAAATATGCTTTAATTTCTTCCTACACCTACAATCCAAATGTAAGACCAGTGTCCTTACAATGTGTTCACTGTTCATTCTCCACGGGAGGGAGAGTCCTGGTGCTCTGAGATACAGGCGTTCTGTCTAGTTCAGGCACAAGTCTCTCACAATCTATTTTACTGCTCTTATATCAAATTATATTATAATACGTTGTCATGTGATTGGTAGATTGTGGAAGAGAGAGAAAAAGAGATAAAGATTAGTTGAAAAAAGAAACAGCATAATTTTCAATCCTCATTCGAAAATCATTAAAACGAGGTACCTTGATTTAATCAGGAATTGGAAAGTAACATTCAATACTGCATCTGTAATCGTTAGCACCCCTAATCCACACTGGGCCAGCGTGATGGGTCACGGCCCAATCTCCTTATTCCAACCATAGGGAAGGCCTGTGCCCCAGCAGTTGGGATTTTTAAAATAGACTGATGTTGGTCCTACCTGACACCTAGACCGAGTGAACTGAATATTTTTACTGAAATTTCCTTTTTTATTTATAAATTACTTGCTCTCGTCTCTCTTTCAGTTGTTTTATCTAAAATACAGGAAAATGATGCACTTTTTGTCAAAAGAGATGAACTTTACAAAGTAAAATTAGATAATTTAAAAGGCGATGAACATCACGAATTCGAAGTTGACAATGCAAAAGACAGAGGAAACAAAGAGGAGCTAGCCAAAGTAATAGAATACTTAAACACTAATTCTG